CACTGAGAATTATGAAGCGATAAGATTTTCACTAAACACACAAGGATTACCATTAATGAGACAACAGCCACACTTTCTAGAGTTAACTTAGAGAACATTCTCCCTGATGTACAGGTGTAGAACACTAAGTATTTTTGTAGGTTATGAGGACAGAAATTCATCTACCCTGTTTATCACTTCATCGTATCATCTGTTTTACAGGGGTGCTCATTATTTGAGAAAACCCTCAAAGATTCTCACAGCCTATCCAGAGCAATAACAAGAAATCCCCTTCTCCCTTTCCAGTGGTTATGTATACTTGCATCAGATTTTAATTCTCGTGACATTTTTGTTTTAGCAAATACTTACAAAGGGCTAATGGTGAAAAATAAAAACTTTCCTGACTACCAAGAAATAAAATCATATGTTCACACATGGTATTCATTTGATGTATCTGTTAGCCTACCATTGTTATTTTTTAACTTCTAAGGCAGGGCTCATTGAGGTCTTGTTAAACAATGAACAGTGCCCTAGGTTCCTGAGGTTCTCAGAGGTCTTCCTATCAAGGAGCCTGAATGCCAATGATTAGAGGAGCTAGTTTGGGTTAGGAGAATTGGTTAAGGAAGCCCCTATTATCTCCGTCTAGTCTCAGAGTATGAAAGAATAGAATACTCAGGATTTTTAGTTCATTGGTTACATTGTTTATCACTTACATCTTCTTAGTCACTTTTGACAGTTTTTGAATAAAATATTAAAAATAATTTTAAACTGCTTACTACTGGGGCAATAAAACCATTTGAAAATCATCATAGTATTATTTAGAAAAATTATTGAATTTAATTACACCATTGTAGATGGTGTAAAAATATTTTTATTACTTGAACATAAAAGGCAACAGGCTACTCTGTGGTTATTAATGGCCCAGCCATTATCTTTATTAGGTTAGCTTGAATCTTTTTTTCTTAGAGAAGGGTCATGTTCCCCTACAAGTTTATTCAGACACATAGAAAACAATAAAGGGAAGGTAGATAGATGGGTCTGGTGTTACCCTGTGTTGGGTAGTTTTATGTCAACTTGACACAAGCTAAAGTCATCTGAGATAAAGGAACCTCAATTAAGAAAATGCTTCCATAAAATTGGGCTGTAGGCAGGCCAATAAGGCATTTTCTTAATTAGTGATTGATGGAGGAGGGCCCAGCCCATTGTGAGTGGTGTCATCCCTGGACTGGTGGTCCTGGTGGTTGAGCAAGCCATGAGAGTAATGCAGTAAGTAGCACCCCTCCATGACCTCTGCATCAGCTCCTGCCTCGAGGTTCCTGTCCCGTTTGAGTGGCTGTCTTGGCTTCCTTTGATGATAAACAGTGATACAGAAGTATAAGTCAAATAAACCCTTTCCTTCCTGTCTTAGTCTATGTTCTATTACAGTGACAAGACACCATGACCATGACAACACTTATAAAAGGAAAGCATTTAAGTGAGGCTTGCTTGGAGTTTCAGAGGTTTAATCCATTATCCTCATGGCAGTGAAGCATGGTAGCGTAGAGGCAGACATGGTAGCTGAGAACTCTACATCTGGATAGAAGGCAGAAATCTCAAAGGCTTCAAACTTTGTAGGTTTGACACACTTCCTCCAATAAGGCCACACCTACTAATCCTTTCAAATAGCACCACTTCCTGGTGACCACGCATTCAAATATATGAGCCAATGGGGGCCATTCTTAGTCAAACCACCACACTCTCTAACTTGCTTTTTGGTCATAGTGTTTCATCATAGCAATAGAAACCCTAACTAAGGCAAGTTGGTACCAGGATTGTAGGGTATTGCTGTGACAGACCTGACCATGTTGTTTTTAGGAGTGGGAAAATTGTAGAAGAACTTTGGAACTTTGGCCAAGAAGAGCAATTGAGTGTTCAATGCTTGGTGAACTGTTCTGTAGGAACTTGGGAGATAAGAATGTTGAGAGCAATGCAGATGATAGAGGCCTGGCTTGTGAAGTATCAGGGGGAAGTTTAAAGACTCTATCAGGACTCATTTGTTATTTTGAATTGAGATTCTGTGGTTCTGGTCAGCTGCAAGTAAAGAATCAGCTGTGATTAACAAGATACCAGAACCACTAAATGGAAACCTTTGCTTTGCTGGGCTACTTGATGCTGGTTGGCTGGACCTAAAAAGTTAGTGGTGATTAAGAAGACACCAGCATCACTGAGGTGAAATCTTTGGGAGAAGTTTTTCCTGAGACAGTCAGCACACAGAAGCTGTGTTCCAGAGGCAGCCAAGGTTGTACCTCACACTGGCAGCTGAACTTGATACTGTGAGAATCACCCAGGCAGTACTGGTTTGAAGGTATAAAGGGGCAATGAAAAGCAGCTGAGGCTTGGCACTGTGAGAGGTCAGGAGAAGCCATTGGTGAAGGTACAGCCTCAGTTGAAGGTCCAGGATTGAAAGGGTCATGGAAAGTTGAGGCTTGGCATCACGAAGAAAGCCAATGAGAGGCTATTGGTGAAAGTGGAGCCCAGTTGCAGCAGAAGACCCTAGCGTTTTGGAGATATCAATACCATGGGATGACCACCAAGAACAGCAGCTGTGGAGTGAAGCCAGTTGGAGCCTAGAAGACAAACTGTGTATGCATAGTGTAGAGGGTAGAGCCAGAGAAGTGACCCAAGTCCTTTGGAGGAGTCCAGAAGATTCTGAGTGAATCCCAGACATTGAATATAAAGTTTTCACTTTTGGAGTTTTGTTTTGCTTTGATTTGGTTGCGACTGTGCCCTGGTTCTTCCCTCTTGAAGTAAGAAAGTATTTTTTATTTTACAGCAGCCCACAGCTGAGAGACTTTGAATTTTAAAAGACATTAGTTTTAAGAGATTGGCCATTTTAAAAAGACTGAATTTTTACATGTTTAAATTTGTAAAGACTGGGGATTTTTTAAGTTATTTGTATTTTTAATGTGAGATCGTATGGATGAAAGAGAAAGGAAGGGGTGTGGTTTAACTGTGATGTGTTTGTGAGTCAAGCTGACACAGGATCAATTGTGCTGGATAGTTTTATGTTGACTTGACACAAGCTAAAGTCATCTAGAAGGACAGAGCCTCAATTAAGAAAATGCCTCCATAAGATTGGGCTGTCACCGGGCGGTGGTGGCGCACGGCTTTAATCCCAGCACTCGGGAGGCAGAGGCAGGCGGATCTCTGCGAGTTCGAGGCCAGCCTGGACTACAGAGTGAGTTCCAGGAAAGGCGCAAAGCTACACAGAGAAACCCTGTCTCGAAAAACCTAAAAAAAAAAAAAAAAAAAAAAAAAAAGATTGGGCTGTAGGCAAGGCTGTAAAGGATATTTTCTTAATTATTAATAATGGAGGGGGGCCCAGCACATGGTGAATGGTGCTATCCCTTGCTGGTGGTCCTAGGTTCTATTAAAAAAGCAGGCTGAGCAAAGCCATGAGAACAAGTCAGTAATCAGCACCCCTCCATGGCCTCTGCATCAGTTCCTGCCTCCAGGATCCTGCCCTGTTTGAGTTCCTGTCCTAACTTTTCTGATGATATACAGTGATATGAAGTATAAGCCGAATAGACCCTTTGCTCCCTAAATTGCTTTTGGTCATGGTGTTTCACGGCAGCAATAGAAACCCCAACCTAGACACACCTACCAACTATTATTTTCTGAGTACTTAGTAGCACATATTAATTGTGCAAAATGGACTTCATATTTTCATCCATGTATATAATGTATTTTGATCATGCTTATCCCAGTACCCTTTTAACCCCCCTCCCACTGACCCACTTCCTCTTCCCCATTCTCTTCAACTTGCTTTTCTTCTTTGGTGACCCCAGGAGCTTAATTAGGGTTTTGATAAAGGGTTCTCTAGCTCAAGCTGTTGATTGAACTCCAGATTCTGCCTGCACCTCTCAAGTCCAGAGGAACTCCCTGGCTCAGGTCAACACTGATATGATTGTTTGCCCATCTGTAAAATAGTGCTACTACCTCCTCTCTAGGTTCCGAGATCAAAGACTGTGTACTATGCCAATAACCACACCTGTGGTAGTTTGTACAAGTAGACTCCCTCAGAGACAACCTGTCAGCTTCCTAAAATGATTAAGTTAAAAAAGCTGCAACTGACTTATCAGATTAACACCAGCTTCATCAGCAAAACTGTTCATTCACATTGCCCAGTTTCCAGTTGGTTAAGTGTGAAATTCAGGGTTAAAAACTCAGCTCTGTGTTGTGACTGGATAATTTAAGAATGTGACTTATACTTAGCTATATTGACAATACAATAGGAAACATATGACAGGTTGTAATTTCCTCTTGACAGGAAGAATCACTGTAAATCTTTTATTAAACTACTTTAGGATGCTGGCTTATTATGAATCAATTAGGGGGCCAGGGAAATGATTCAGATGATAAAGGTCTCACCTCCAAGACTGGACACTCGAGTTGAAGCCCTAGTATCCACATGGTGCAAGGAAAGAATCAACCCCACAAAGCTGTCCTGTGATTTCTCCCATGCTATGCCCCTATCCCACATAAATATAGATTAGTAAATTAGGGGTAGACTATTTCTGTGGCTGCACACTTGCCTAGCATGCACAAGGCCCCGGACTGGGGTGTGTGTGTAACCAATTAAATTTATAACTAATTCTTAAGTTTCTTTAAGGTAAGGATTGAAACATTCATGCCATGCTTCCAAGTAGATACCGCATCCTCCTTGACCAATTCTGTTCCAGTTCTAGAAAACATAGGCTCAGTCCTTTAGGACTTATCAAATTTCCCAGGGCAAAAATAACTGAGTGTACCTTGAAACATGCCTCTAAACTTAAATGGACATAATTGGCTTCCCATTCCTGACCTTACCAACTAAAGGTACCTCACTTCTGAGAAATTATTCTCTTTTGAATATTAAGTGCCTCCGAAATAAAATGTAGTTACATAAAGTATTTTCACATTTTCTCTTACTACCAGACTCTTGAGACAAAAACATTCATTCAAACAGACACCCTCCCACTCCAGCAAACTGGGTTTTGTAGTAAACTGTCAACATCTTATTTTATTATTGATGTAAGCATGTGATTCCAAAGTGATGAAGGTAATTTTATACACTCAGAATTTTCTAAGTACTTAAGCTTACCATTGACCTTGAAACCAAACAAACATTTCAAATTACTAACTTTTAAATGAATGGGATGAGGAACAGGCCTCAGCGGATGACCGAAGCTGTTAATCTGCACTGAGATATTTCGCTGATATGCTTCTTCGGATACAGCAGTTACAAGTGAGAATCTTCAAAAAATGAGGACACAAAAAAGCTTCCACAGCCTGCGTCATAGTCCTCAGTCTGAAACAAGACAAGTAAATCTTTTTGTAAACCAAAGGGGTTTGTGTGTAGTTTTCAGATACTGCCTCAGACCTCTTACTAATGTATACGTCATTCTGACTCTGGCTACACTAACTATGCTTACAGAGTTTTAGACCCAACTAGGTCCGAAGGTGGAAGATCATACACACTGGCATGGTAGTTGGCAAGAGCAGACTGTAAAAGCAAAGCCTGGCTGTGCGGGTGCAGCCCTGTGGGAAATTGTCCTCCAGAAAGCATCTCAGAACAGTTCTGCTAATGAGAGTAGTGGAAGAACAGTCTAGCAGACAGACATGAATCACTGTTCTTCCCCAACTGCCCTTCCCTGTCTTTAAGGTCTACAGTATTAGAGAACTCAGCAGTTATGCTTTTAACAATCATGGTCTAATGCTGCTCAACCTCTTCTTGCTTCTTATTTTGACGTGTTGTCCTCGCTGCCTGCGGTATCATATTCGGGATCCCATCAATGATTGGATAGGCTATTCCCAACTCGTCATTAATCAGTTCATTCGTCGATGCTTCGTATCTGAGGGAGAAAAAGAACACAATGAACTATGGGAAATCAAAGCTTTAGAAGAGCTTGATAATCAATAAATACACCAGCTATCCAATTCTTGATATAGAGTTACTCTTCCAGTAGTTTTAGTCTTAAATGCATTAAGCCAACCCAACCACTGCTCTTAGAAAATCATCTTACAACTTGTAATTATTCCGACTGGAATCAGTATTTCTCATATTATCTTTTTTATAACTTTATTCCCAAGTTATGCCTTAACCTTTTCACACCAGTTAGAAAAGATGTCTACATTTCATGCCAGAATTCCTTCCTTGCTATGGTGAACCCCAAATCATCCAAAAGGAAAAACAAAAAACAAAAAGTAACTTCCTCTGTTGATGTAAATGCTAGAGAGACTTATATGAGACAACAGAAAGAAAACACTGAGAATCAAAACCTGCAAAATAAAAGCCTGGAAGATGAGAGAGCACAAAGGAGGAACTCTGGAAAGCAGCAAGTCTGCAGTGAGCTAGCTACACAGAGACAGTAAAGCAAATGGTGATTTCAAGATTTAAGAAAACCAAGTAAGTTCTTCACTATAGAGACCAATCCAGAAGGTGAAAATGAGAATAAAAATTGTTAGTAACCTGCTACCCAAAGATAACCACGTTTTATCGTTTGTTCATTTTTGAATATTAATGGTGCTGCCCATTATTCTGTTTCTGGAGTCTGGAACTGTGGATGTATTTTCCCCAAAACCCCCTGAAGGTTAAAAATGTGATTAAAAACCAGCTAGCCCACAACTGAAAGCATGAGACAATGCCAGGCATCGGGTGTAAATGTATAGCACTTCACAAGACTCTGGAAGCTACATATATATATATATATATAAATTTTGTCTTGAAGAGTGAATAGCTCTGGATTTGTCCTGTCTTTGTGGTTTATACAGGTGGCAGAGCACTGGAAACAAGAAACCAGGGGGTGGTAGTTCATTCTTGTAATCTTCTGCTCTCAGAGGGCTGAGGCAGGACGTACCACAACTTGCTAGACTGGGCAACATAAAGAGTTCCAGGGACGGCCAAACCAAATATGGAACCCTGTCTCAAAACAAACAAACAAACGCAAAGATGAAGACAAAGGCTGGGAAGATGGCTAAGTCAGTAAAATGTTTGCCCTGTAAACGCATGGGTCTGAGTTCTGATTCTCGGTAAATATGTAAGCTTATTCCTGAGCAGTGATGTGAAGCCCCCCAGCTCAATTCGCTCTAGGTCCTGTGATCCCTTCCTAAAATAAATTGGGGAGCGATTGAAGACGACAATGCACGGTGACTTTTGGCCTTTGGTGCCGCGCATGCACTCTTACACAGCAAAAAAAGAGAAAGAAAAAAGAAAAGTCCTGAGGCTGGCCCTGACACTGTGGTTCAACAGGCTCTGGAGACGCCAGTCTGAGAAACCCTGTCTTTCTTGAAGCTCTCTGGGATTGATGGTAAAAGGTAGCTACTGGAGAGCCCGAGAAGCACCCCGCTCCCGTCGTGGGCGGGACTGATCCCAGCAAGGAGGACGGCCTGGCGGGGTCGCTGGTAGGGAGTGGGCTCCGGACCCAATGGCTGTAGCCACTGGGTCACCACCACCTTCCCCGGGGAGAGGCGGCTGGTGGCTCTCACCTAAGCGGCTTCTTGGAGAGCGGACACACCAGGAACTTCAGCAGCGCCGGGTGGAAGGTGCGGGGCTCCTCCGCCCTCTCGCTCTGGTCAGCAAAGGACCTGACCCCAGGCGCCAGCAGATACCTCCTGGCGACGGCGGACGGTGAGCGCGGACCCCGCATCGCCGGGGCGAGCCTGCGGCACGTGGCGCTCAGCATGGTCGCTCCGAACTCCTCCACCGCTTGCCCGGACACCTAGCCCCCGGGTCACCCTGGCCAGGCCCGGCCCCGCCCCCTCGGTGCTCGGCCGAATGCAGCCCCAGTACAGCCGGCGTTGGCATTGTGGTTCCGGGAGCAGGACTGACGTTCCGGGGTCAGTGGCTGCGCCATCCCTTTTACGAAACTAAACGCAACCAGTGCTCATTCGGGTGTCCAACTTTTCATCAAGGCTAATCACCGGTGCCAAGGGCCAGACTCCAGTCGCAGAGCGCTAGGCTTCGACTTGCGTGGTTATTTTCAGAGTCTTCAAACACAGGCATATTGAGTGTGTTCGAAGCAACAGCTTGTTTAATGTTAATCGTACAGTATCAGTTTCTGTGACTTTCTCTGGACTCCGTCCCCCATTCAAAAAACTAAGAACCTTGAAAGAATGGCTTTGTTCTCTTATTCTGTAAACTTTTTTTTTTTTTTTTTTTTTTTTTTTTTTTTTTTTTTTTTTTTTTTTTTTTTTTTTTTTACTACTTAGACTTGTTAATTGGGAAAAAGCAAGGCTGTAAGCCAGAGATTCTCAACCTGTGGGTCGAGACCCCTGTGGGTCGAGTGGCTGTTTCGCAGGGGTTGCCTAAGACCATCAGAAAATATATTTACGTTACGATTCAAAGTGAAATTACAGTTATGAAATAGAAATGAAAATAGTTTTATGGTTGGGGGTCACCACAGCATAAAGAACTGTATCACAGGGTCGCAGCATTAGGACAGTTGAGGAACCACTGCTGTAAGTGAACCTGAAGGCTGTCTCGGAAAGTAATCAGACATATGTCCATTAGTCAAATGGTCCACTTGGATAATTCAGAGGGGTTTTGATCCCAACTTTGCATGGAAGTCATGCCTGTTTGATTTCCTTATACAGCAGTGAGGTAGATAAGAACTTGGGCCTAGACAGTTAGTTCCACATTTATAAGCCAGACAACTCAATTTCCTTATTGGTATAATAAAATAATTCAGTTTCCTTACTGGTTTAGTAAGATTAATAATTGTCCCAACTATGAACTGAAATTGGGGTGGGCATAGGGGAAGCTTTATTTATTTTAAGATTCTACAAGACTAGCCTGGCTTGGTGGTACACACCTTTAATCCCAGAACTCAGGAAGCAGAGGCTGGCAGATCTCTGAATCTGAGATTCTACAAAGCTGATTGACAGAACTCTCCATGATTGTGGAGAATTGGGATGTTACAGGTCCAGAGCCAGATTATCTTCAGTGCCTTTAGATGCCTTAATAGCCATTCATTGTCTACCTCTGTGTCTGACCTAACATCTTTGTGACTATTGGTAATTCCTTTGGGAATATACTAACAAGCCCCTAGCAGCTAATGTGAAAGAGAATTCCTGGAGAAAAGCTATGTCTGCAAAGACTGAGTGACTGGTTAGCGCTTCAGTGATGTGGAGAAGTTGGAAGGCCTCAAGTTCAGAGCCTACATGTATTGAGCATCTTTAGCCCTCTTAGTAGCCAGTTATTACCCTCCTCTGTACATGACCTGACACCTTTGTGGCCAAAAGGTAAATCCTTTGGAATATATGAACACACCCCTAGTTTCCACTGATCAGAAGGATGCTGTCAGATACCAGCTAGGGCCTATCACAACGCTCCTTGCTGTGGTGTAGCCTGCCTACCTACCTAATGTACCCACTGATATATGTTACGTGTTATTTTATGCCCTTGTAAAAGATATAAAAACGTAATAAAATTGCTACTGCGAGAGAATTGGAGAGGCATAGGTAGGTAGGGAGATGGCTCCCTAAGATGGTGGCTTCTTGTTCTGAGACAAAAATGGAATGCATAAGAGTATGAATCTAAACAGGATCAGTAGAGAAAAGGGGAGAGAGAGCCCAAGGGAGAACACCCAACTGTCTGTTTAGCACATTCCCAGCTTTGGGGCTTCTCTGTCCCAAAGGGAGCTGTTGGCAATAAAGCTGTCACGTTTGCTTTCTCCACAGCTCAGTCTTGTTTGTTTTTCCCTGACATTCAAATTATTTGTTGCCCCATGGAACGAACTCAGAGATCCCCTAAATGATTGCCAGCACCCCATTACATCTCTTGGAGGTTCATCTATGATTTGAGAAGACCTCCACTAAAGATAGCTATACCTTACTAAAAATCACAAAGGACTCAGAAGTGGCCATGATCTTCTGGCACTCCAAGGGCCTTTTCGGAGTGAGGGAACCCTGTGACCAGGACAAACACGGTTTGAACCCCAGGCCAGCCCCCGCCTCTACTAGGAATAAGGAGAATAGGGGATCTGGCTCTGATAGAGCAAACAGCACGCTTGGATCTCATATGACTAAATGGAGATTTCTTCTTCAAGTACTAGGGCAGGACTTCTATTGCCACTTAAGTCAAGTGATGTTGCAAACTGGACCCTAAGAAAACAAACATCTTTCTAGGGAAGAAAGAAGCAAGAGGGCAGATTTCTCCCTTGGTACACCTGGAAAGGCCAGGAGGGAAAGTCACACCGCTTGATTGATTCACGCCTGGCTTTTAAGCCCCTGAGACGGAACAGCTAAGTACAGGCACCTGCAGCTAGGCTGCCTGAGGGAAGGAAAGAGAACAGGAAGCTGGGTAAGGGAGACACTGCCAGCCGCCATCAGGACAAAGAAGATGTAAAATACCGGTAAGCCACAAGCCACGTGGCAAGGTATAGATTAATAGAAATGATTAATTTAAGCTGTAAGAACAGTTAGCAAGAAGCCTGCCACGGCCATACAGTTTGTAACTAATATAAGTCTCTGTGTTTATTTGGTTGGGTCTGAATGGCTGTGGGACTGGCGGGTGTGAGAGAGTTTGTCCTGACTGTGGGCCAGGCAGGAAAACTCAAGCTACAGCTAAGTACAGGCACCTGCAGCTAGGCTGCCTGAGGGAAGGAAAGATTCACTCAGTTTTCTGTTTCTTGATGCCTGGGGGAAGGAAAGACTCACCTTGAGCCACTCTAGTATGTAAGTGAAACCTGCAGTAGTCTTGAATTTATAATGTGCTGAAAAGAAAGTGATGCCAAGCTGGCTTTGGAGGTGGGGTGTGCCTGAAATTCAAATAGAGGCAGCTAAGAGTGAGCTAGTGTGTAGGAAAGCTTCCCTGGGGGCTGGCAGTCCGAAGGGGCCTTAGCTGTCTGTTGGGAACCCATACGGCTGCTGGAAACTTGTCTTTGCTCTTCCTTAGAGCTCTCAAGAAGGACAAAGTTTTGTCACTCTATGTGACATATGAGGGGAAGGGACATGGGTGTCAGGAACAGGGCTTCCCTTAGTTGGACTGTCCGGCAAATGACAACTCTGACCTTACAACTATCCCCTCCGCACATACCCTTCCTCCAGCCCAAGCTCCCCCATGTCCCTGAGCGTGTGTGTGCGACGCTCTCTGCTGTCCTTGCAAAAGACACTGGGCTCAGGAGGTTCCCCAGCTGAGGTGGGAGCGGGGAAGGAAACAGCAAGGAAAGTTAACAGTAAGGCTGTGGGTGGGACTCAGCAGAGGGCTTGCCTAACATGCCCTAAGTCCTGAGTCTAGCCCCAGCACTGAAATAAAACAAATTGCAGCAGAAGTCTCCACAGCCAGGAGCAGGTCTGGGTGTAGTTTGAGAACTAACTGAACTGGTTTCTTGCTTGGTGAAGCTTACTTGGATGCTGCAGGTCCCTGTGTTGCCTGACTGTTGTCCATAAGCGAAGCAATTTCAGAGCATCCCCCAGAAGCAATGGGGTTGGGGTACATCAGTTGTAGCAGAAACCACTCACTCCTCAAGGCTAAACACAGGGGTTAGGCTGGGTGTGGTGACGAATGGCTTTAAGGCCAGCACTGTGGAAGCAGAGGCAGGAGAATCTTTGTAAGTTTTGAGGCCAGTCTAGACTACAGAGCAAGTTCCAGGACAGCCAGGGCTATACAGAGAAACCCTGTCTCAAAAAACCAACTCCACCCTAAAACAAAACAAAAGAAACAAACCAAAATAACAACAACAAAGCCAAAACAACACTGGGGATAAGCACTCTGAAGTCAGACAGCTGTGTTCAGAGCATCTGGGATGGCTCTCCCTCCATGTGCTCACTTTCCATGGCGAAGGAGGGGGTGGGATCTAGTTTCACTACCTAAATTGTTTCTACTCTGCTCCTCATGCCACCTTCCCATCTCAAGCCTGACTCCTTAGCCTTCCCAGCCTGGTTGCTATGGCCAGGGAAAGTTGGAGGATACTGTTACCCTAGTGGCCAAGAATGCCCTAGAAGTTGACCACTGGCTGTACCGTGGGTCCTTCTATCCTCATGACCCTTAGGACTCTGGCCACTTTCCTCTCAGTTAGATACCCCCTACTATAAGGGATGGCACTAGGTCTTTCCCTGTTGAGGATCCACCCTCTCTGTGACTGATATGCTTCTTGCAAGAAATTAAATGTCAAATCTAGAGTTTTGAGGGATGGTGGCATGAAAATTATCTTGGATATAGAGGTATAGGGGACCTAGATTTGAATCCCTACAGGCAGGGACAGGAGAGTAATGTGACCCAAAGAAAAATGAAAAAAGGAAACTAGGAGGTGACCGGAGACTGAGCCATGGGTCGATGTGGAAATCCCACTACCTGGTCTGGCCTCTACCCTGGACAGACTAGGTTGCACTCAGTGCTCCCTGTTAACAGGTGGTCTAGGTAGGGAAAGGGCAACCCTGGCCCAAGACATCTCTATCTCTCCCCCTCCATCTCATTGCAGACGGGACAGACTGGTTCCAAAATTCCTCCGATGCTTCCTCTCAGCAACCTTCTCAAACAGTGCTCAGAATTAGAAACTCGGACATTCAAAACCTCTGCATTTATTTTGTCAGAAGGCATGGCTCTGAGCGGATGACAGGAAAATGGCCACCTCAATGGACCCTCAATTCTAATACTATCCTTCAAATGGGTCAATTCTTCAAAAGAAAGAGAAAATAGGCCAATGTCCCCTATGTTCGACTTTCCTTTTATCTTCAAGGCCAGCCCAAATTGGGTCACAATTATCAACTAGATCCCACTATTTTGATGGTCTATGGTTCTGCTTCTCTACCTCTGAAATAAGGCCATCACATTCAT